CATCTGATCTGGCCCAGTGACTTCTTTCTTTACTTGAAGATAAAGGAAATATTGAAAGGAAGACATTTGGATGACATTCAGGACATCAAGTGTAACATGATGACAGCTCTGATGGCCATTCCAGAAAAAGAGTTCCAAAATTGCTTTAAAGGGTGGACTAAGCGTTGGCATTGGTGCATAGCTTCCCAAGGGGATTACTTCAAAGGCAACCGTAGTGATATTCAGCAATGAGGTATGCAGCACTTTTTCTAGGATGAGTTCGCGAACTTAATTGTCCAGCCTCACACATCCTTCTCCAATAAAAACATTCTGATGTGCATTTAACTTAATTCTTCATTTTTCTCCTACAACATAGGATCATTAGTGAAGAAACACTGGCCAATTCCAGATGACAAGCCTTCAGTGGGCTAAATTACTTCATTGAAAAGCAAGTTCATATTATACCAAAAAAAAAGTTTTAAGGTGATTGAAAAAACTCTAGTATTTTCACAAGCTTTGATAATTTCATCAAAATGTTATGAAGGAAAGATTTTCCTTTTTCCGAGAACGCAGAATTACGGCACACAATTAGAATGGTGGGAGTTGGTCTATATATGAAAAAAAAATGGGTCACTGTGTGTAATTACTCAGAAGATGAGTAATGAAATCAGCATGTTTTTATTAAGATGAATGTGGTTCTGGGGTGAGCATTGGTTTCTAGGGCCCTGTACAAACTAAATTCTGCTCCAAGAGAGTGAGCCATGAGGTTATAGTTAACACTTTAATCTACAACTTGAAAACACTTAAAGCAGCACAACCTGAGACCTTACACGGCACTGAAAAACAAGTGCACTTGCTATCTAGATCAGAACAAGTCTTTGGCACTGATATTCTCACTGTGCAAAAAAAAGAAAGAAAGAAAAGAAAAGAAAGTAATTATACGCTCCTATCACACATTAACAGCTATCTTTTGGGCTCAGAAATCCCATTCCATCATGTTCTTTAATTATGTTACCAAAGACCTAAAGGGACAGTATATACAGACTAAAACGTTTCATTTCATTCTCCTTTACATGGATTTGTGGAACAAGAAATAATTCCACCTAAGAGAAGCTGAAGGCTTATACCGTTAAATGGCCCTTTTTTAAAAGTTTTGCCACATATAGAAATCTTTAGGGAAGCTGTTTGTGTTCCTGAAGCCTCAAGGTTAACACAATGACCACTTTCACCACAGAAATTCCAAGATAACCTCAGAAGTAACACCATGGGCAGTGCTAGCTACCCCTCCACAGACTGGCTTGCCCTCGTTTTTGGTTGATTATCATCCAGAGGTTCTTTTCCTTTTCCTTTTTTCCTCCCTCCTCTGCCTGTCTTTCATCTTTAACGGGCTGGGGCAAACTGCTTAGAAATGAGAGCTTGGGACAGGGAAGGAAAGTTTGTTGAACCACACCAAGACGTACTTTGTTTTCTTTGATTCATTTGGTTCATATTGATTGTTATGTTATTGCATAAAATCAGCACTTCTTCCATTTGTGAAATGATTTTAAGTTTTGGTAAGTCCCTTTATCAGGACATTAAATCATCTCTATACAAAGGAGAGGAGAGTAGGCAGATGTTTCAAGGTCAAAGGGATATATGTCTCATAATCTTGTCCTGTTTTTAATCCAACACATATTCCTGCCTTTTGGTTTCAATATATAAAATTGGCCTCTACTTGCTGTAGGTGCCTCAAGATAGCTCCTTTTTCACATCATCTCTCAATCTATCACTGGAGAAAGGGCTGCCATGCTCTGAGACACCAAGACCAAGTACAGTAAAATGCGTACCTAGAGGACACAACGCTCTACCATCAACACCACTGCTAATGAAGAAATATCTAATAAGAGCTAGAAAATTACTACCAAAATTGTCTTGAATTTCCCTCTGGCTTGTTACTCATGTAAAGGGCCCCTTTGATTTGCCTCTGTTATGTCCAACCAGACAGCAGCACAGACAGCTGTGACACCCTGCTCCTTCCCCCAACCAGCATGTCTCACATCTTTCCACCCTAAAAGGGAGACTGTTATCTGTGATTGCTTAAAAATGGGCCAAAATAGCAGATGTTTGGGGGAAAACACCCAACCAAGCAAGCCTTAAGTACTGACTCCATTTCAGAAGGCAGACCTGCTCTAGTTTACCTCGTCAGCCAACCCCTTCTATCCACCTCAAAGTTGTCAGCCAGCCCCTTGGGTCAGCCGCAATGTGAGAGGAGGCAGTGATGTGCATGCTAAGGTCATACATGCTCAGGTTATCCAAGAACACGGTTCTGGACCCATGGCATCAGGCTACATGCAGACACTACAGCTCACAAGTGTATATCACGAGACTGAGAAAATATTTTTATACAGATTTCTATAAGGAAAGGTATTGTGACTCTCACTAAATCATTTCTGGAAAATTCTTCGCTATGTCTCTGTCTAGAGTCTTCAATAATGTTTCTACAAGGAAAGGAATTTGGCTCTCAAACATTTCTGGAAATTATTCACTATTTCACTATATAATTATATTTTACAATATATAGTTAATATTTCTCTACTTCAAAATGTATTAACATCTACATTTTGTAAATTTTATTATTTTAAACTCCAGTGAGTCCGAGAATAACTGAGTGCCTACCATGAGCACACGGACAGAGAAGGGGTCTGTGTGCCCAGCACTGGGACCCCTGTGGGCACACAGTAGGATGCATTCATACTCTTAAGCTCTGTGAGACTGGCTCTTAGACTAAGCTACATCTGACTATCAGGAAACAAGGCAATTACGTACTAAACACAGGCTCTACCACACTGGACAGTTACAAATAGGAAATGTGGCCCCTTTCCTTACCATCTACAATAAAATATGAAACAGGCCACTGAAGACCTACAAAGAAACAAATGACTATAAATCCACATGATCAGTGTGCAGGGGTAAGATTTCCTTCCAAACAAAGTTCAGGGACTAGCAAAATCAAGTGGTTAGAAATAGTTCTAGTTTTGCCAAATGGCATTCAGGAAGGAAGAGTACGCAGAAGCAAGATATTCTTGTATGGAAAGGCACACACAAAGCTTGCATGATGGGTTATTTTTTTTTTTTTACTTGGAGTGTGACTGTATTTCATATCCCTCGTTCCCTAATTCCACTTTCTCACACTTTCTTGATTTTCCTGACTTCACTCACTGTGTATAAAGCACCAGGCTTGGCACCAGAAATGCAAACATGAACGAGGTACGTTCTCAGACCTCAAGAAACCCACAGTCTTCCCCAATCGTTCCCGTGATCCCTGACTAGATGTAAATTTCTTAAGAGCAGGGCTTCATGTCACATATTCCCAGACTGCATATTCATTTATTTCACAAATATTTTAACTATCTAACATCCTAAAGGTAATGCTACAAATATAATGGTAAAAAAATGACATGGTCTCTCCCCTCTGAAGGAGGTTACAGTAGTGGAAGAAACAAAAACCAAACAGCCAGAAAGATGAGTGTTGTGACCGGAGAGGCACAGGGCTATGAGCACACACAGATGGACCCCACACCCATTGCACCCCCACCAAGGCTTGGGAGGGAAAAGACTCCTAAAAAAGTGATGTCCAAGCTGAGGCCTCAAGGACGAAGAGAGTTAGCCAGCCAAGAAGGTGGCAAAAGTTTTCCATACAAATGGAAGTTGGTGCAAAGATCCAAAGTGAGAGAAATCATGGAACCTACAAGGGACTGGAAGGGTTCAGGGCAGCAAGAACTCATTGCTGGAAGTGATGAAAGCAGGGGTTAAGACCTAGAAGGAAGCTCAGCATTAAATAGTTGGGATTTTATTGGGAGGGCACAGACCTACCACTTAAAGGTTTTAAGCAGGATGGTGTTATTACACATAAGATGGGCAGTAAACACTTGCTTTGATGTATCAAATAATCTCTCAAAGAAGTCCTAATCTTCCCTATACCCTAAATCAGTATGTTTGACATCAGGGAACAACATACAGGATTCCCTAACAAAAGAAGGTTTTGGGTAATACCTAGGACAGCACTGTCCAATGAAAATATGATACAAGCCACATATGTAATTTTAAATGTTATAGTAGCCATAGTCTTAAAAAGTAAAATTAAGATTAATAATATATGTTGTTTAATGGACATTTCTAAAATATTATTTCAACATGTAATCAATATTAAAAATATGAAGATATTTTACATTCCTTTTTTTTTTTTTGTACTAAGTCTGTGAAATTCAGTGTGCATCTCAATCTGGACTGGCCCAAGTTCAAGTGCTCTATAGGCACATGTGGCTAGTGGCTACCATACAGAACAGTGCAGATCCAGGATGTACTTTGGAAACATGTCTTGGAATGTTTAACATACTTTTATCATTTGTGTGTTTGTCTTCTAATTTATAAAAATAATACAGATCAGTTTTTTAATGTGAAAACACACATACACACACAGACACACACAGAAAAGCTCGATTTTGAAAGGTACCCATAATCCCATGCCAAAAATACTACTTAGATTTGGATGTGTATGCTTGTAAGACATTCTGCTATGCCCAAAATACAGGTAGGGCAGGCTTTTTAAAGAGTAAGATCTGTATCAACAGCTCTTAAACCTAATATGTTAAACAAAGTCCTGTATAAAATGAAACAGATTTTCTGTTTTCACAGTTTTGTGACCTTTTCAGACTATATTTAAATGAGCATATCCTAGAATTTTGAAGTTTTGTAGGGGACCATTGTCATTTTAGGGAAATGCCACTTTCCATATTACCTACAGTTCTCGGGCAGTCCCACTTCTCCAGTTTTTCTTTCCTACCATCTATCTACTTTAGTCTGTTCTTCCCTTTATCAAAAAACAAAACAAAAGGAGGGAGGGGTGTCTATTATCTTACACACACTTTATTTCAAGAACATGGCGGGTTTCACTATATTTCCTGCCCTTTGCTTATTGCTGGAACACACCTTGGCGGCCAGAGTGTGGCACCCTCTGAGTGACGATCTCCCCTCTTTTCCAGGCCGTACCTGCAGCAGTCACAGCACCATGAACTCCACCACCGCACAGCCCCCACCGGTGATCTGCTCCTGGAACCCCGTCATAACTCGCCAAATCATCCCCACGCTGTACTTCGTGGTTTTCATCGCAGGCATCCTGCTCAATGGCGTGTCGGGCTGGATATTCTTTCACGTGCCCAGCTCCAAGAGTTTCATCGTCTATCTCAAGAACATCGTGCTCGCCGACTTTCTCATGAGTCTGACTTTCCCTTTCAAGATTCTCAGTGACTCGGGGCTGGGCCCCTGGCAGCTGACCGTGTTCGTGTGCCGGGGCTCGGCCGTGCTCTTTTATGTCAGCTTATATGTCAGTATCGTGTTCTTCGGGCTCATCAGCTTTGACAGGTACTATAAAATCGTCAAGCCACTTAAGACCTCATTCATCCAGTCCGTGAGCTACAGCAAGCTCCTGTCAGTGACCGTGTGGGTGCTGATGCTCCTTCTCGCTGTTCCCAACATGATCCTGACCAACCAGAGTGTGAGGCACAGCACACAGATCAAGTGTGTGGAACTTAAAAACGAGCTGGGGCTAAAGTGGCACAAGGCATCCAACTTCATCTTTGTGACCATTTTCTGGATTGCATTTCTTCTCTTGATCATTTTCTATACTGCCATCACAAGGAAAATCTTCAAGTCCCACCTCAAGTCCAGGAGGAACTCCATTTCAGTCAAGAGGAAATCCAGTCGCAATATATTCAGCATCATGTTCGTATTTTTTGTCTGTTTTGTACCCTACCACATTGCCAGAATCCCCTATACCAAGAGCCAGACGGAATCTCATTACAGCTGCCAGTCAAAAGAAACCTTGCACTATGTGAAGGAATTCAGTCTGCTCCTGTCGGCTGCCAATGTGTGCCTGGACCCCATTATCTATTTCTTTCTATGCCAGCCATTTAGAGAGATCTTATGTAAGAAATTACACATCCCAGTAAAAGCTCACCGTGACTCAGAAAACTCCAAAACCAGAAGGGGAAATACAATACATGAAAGCACAGACACTTTGTGAGTTCCCACCTCCTGTCAGATAGTCTGTGTATCCGGATTGTAATCTTCAATTACATAATAAGAGAAATGAATGAGAACCATGTCTAGGATAATAAGTATCGTCACTGAGCATTGCTATCCAATTTAGTACAACAATATATTAAAATGTTAGTTCCATGTTTTTTTGTAATATCAAAGAAAAAAATAATGCATACATTTTTTTATATCACATTAAAATATACAGTTTAAACGTATAATCACTAACCTGGTAAGTTAATGTAGAACTTTAAATAGCAAATAAGAAAATAGGAAGCAATCAAGACAATTCACAGAGGTGTCTTCCCTCTCTAAATATAAGAATTAAGTTAGGAAATGATGTATATTTTTTCAACAGGGTCATTAAAGACGAACTAAAAAGCAGGAACTAGAGGTCTATTTGTAGTAAAGAGTCAAGTTTTCCCTGATTTGAAGGAGAAAAAGCAAACACTCAGAAAAACAATATAAGAAACCCCCTACTGATTAATTTCATGGCATTTCAAAAGAAAGCGGATATAAATTATACACTTTGCAATTAAAAATGTAATGTTTTTCTGATAGCATTTTGAGGATGATATAAAAATACGTTTTAAATATGTTCTCTACAAAAACTTGTTAAGTCACTTAATGAGCCTGGAGTTCTGGTGTTAGAATATTTTTAAGTGGACTCTACTGAGGGAAGCTGGATATTGGCACGTGCTGCCAGCAACTTCCCCTGTTCTCTGTTATGGACAAAAAAATAGGATGAGTGGGAGAAAGAGTCAGTCAGTCTCTCTCTCTCTCTCTCTCTCTCTTCTCTCTCTCTCTCTCTCTGTCTGGCAACATACATTTATTCTCTAGGGGCAGGAGAAAGCAGTTTTCTTAGAAAACTGGACATGATAAAAAGAAAATCTGAAATATATAATGAGTGAGAAATTATACATAAAATGAAAACTGTAGTTGATAAAAAGAAAATCTAAAATTTGTAATAATGAGTGACAAAGTATATATAAAATGAATATTTACACATCACATTTTCTGAAAAAAATAAATTAATATATGCAGATGTGGGATATGGTTGCTGGCTTGTGAGTTATCAAAACTAAATTCTTTCTCTGCTATTAACTGACTAGAAGACATTCAGTCCTTGTTTCAAATGTTCTTTACAAACTTTTTAAAGTCATGTTTATATATATATATATATATATATATATATATATATATTTCACTCTTTACTGTATATGTACTAATAAAGAAATTATTTTTAATAGTGCCATTTTTTTCTTAATAATCAAGATATGAAAAAACGTTACCAGTTTCCTCGAAGTCAAGACATAGGTGGTTTCTTTAATACACTCAATTATGCATGCTAATAAGGATGTTACATAGAGAATTCAAAAATTCTATTTGCTACTGACTTTGCAAAATAAGTACTGTATACGCACTAGGACCTCATCAGATTTTAGGCAAAACTCAGAAAACATACCTTAAATTGAAGAAGAAATAGGAAGGTTTTCAAACTCTACGTCCACTTTCCATGCTTATAAAAGCTCCCTGTTCCCAACTCTGGGTCAAATATCCTCTCTCAAAAAGAGTCAATTCACCAACCTATGAAAAATGTGTTTGGTAAAACTAAGCTTGCTCTATTTGTTTGGTTGCATATATTTGCAAAAGAAGTTGTGTTTATTCTTCACAATTTCCAATGGCCAGCACAAATTAATAAATACTGGTGTTTTAAATGCTTCTACTAGGCCACGGGAGAAAATGAAAGTGGAAAAGAGAAGATGAGTAGCACCAAGTAATCATGGCTTTGTAACCTTGTGCTAAAAGCAGATCAGTAATGTGAAAGACAAGATTTCTCAGGAAACAACATGCAATGCAGATAAGGACATTGTGAAGCAAGAGTTGAGTAACAGTTACTACATTTTAAAACTTTCAGGTCCAACAGAAAATAAAGTGGTAGAGTACTAGCAACAATGGATTAACTCAGAGACTTCTCGGGCATTACCAGTACTAGTGAAGGTAGGCGATGGGGGGCCTTTCTAGGTCCTTCTGTGGATAAAGCCATAGCGCAGGTCCTCAAGTGGTCAGGCTGCCCCGTGCAGCTTACAAACTCAGGGGCCTGTGGTGGCAAAGAAGGCCAGGCCCGTGCAATTGTAAGAAAATGGAAAATAGGGAATGTTGAGGAGAAGGGTGAACCCAGAGCTCGAGCGTCACCAATAGGTCACTTAGCTCCAGCCAATTGTTTCCGCATGTTTTGAAGGGATGTAAAAAAAAAAAAATTTAAATTTCTCGGGCAACTGTGAAAACAAAACACATCTGTGGACAGAATATGACATACCAACAGCTGCTTTGCAACATCTAGAATGCAGAAATCTAATAGAAAGGTATTCAAAAGTAGCTCTCCGGCCGGCCGAGTGGCACGCTGGTTAAGAGCTGGCTTGGGACACCAGAGGGCCCCGGTTCGGATCCCACATATGAGGGCCAGTGACACTGCCCTCTACAGCTAAGATGCTGAACAACAGCTCGACCTGGAGCTGGGCTGCAGGGAGTCGCCGGCAACAGCGTAGGCTGCAGCCCCTGTAGCAGTGGGTTGCCATGGGCTACCGTGTGTAGCCAGCAGCCAGCGTGAGCAGCCAGCTGCCGCCGTGAGCGGCCGTCCAGAAGCCGGCGACTGATCTGCCTCACCTGGGAAGAGCGCAATGATGGTGCCAACTTGAGCCAGTGAAGCAACGCCCTCCACAACTAGATTGAAGAACAAAACGACAGCAACTTGTCTGTTCTCCTTCCCCCAATTCCCCAGCACTGTTCCCATCCCCCCAATTCCCCAACAAAAATCTTTAAAAAAAAGTAGCTCTCGACTAAAACTGAAAATACCCCCTTCAATAGGAATTCTTACATATTCTTTAACTAAACTGAGGTCCTGTGTTGATGCACAATTGATTCAACTACCTACACAAAAATACTCTCAAGTGTTTTCATAGAAGAAATATTTGAGACAAGAAGAATCAAGAAACAAAGAAATCACAATCATATAAAAAGATTACACATAAAACTTATCCACAGAGATGTCTGAACCTTGCAACTGTCTTTTACAAAATGTTATCATCATTAGTGCTAATTTGCTGGTTATCTCATCGGCCTCCATACTTTTTTTCTCAGCAATAAAATCGAAATTTTTCCTTTGGGAAATTCACATTTCCCTGTTCTCGGCCATATATTATCATAACATATCACAGAGCCCATCCTGTCCTCACTATCATGGCCAGGCCATAATTGACAATCAGCATGTCCAAGTTCACTGGCTCCTGGCTGGGATGGCACATGACCCCCTAGGACCCAATGAGAGCAAGTGCCAAACTTCTGAAGAAATTCTCTATAAGCCTTGCTGTTAATAGGTAATGTCTAGATGTGCTTCTTTCATTTTGATGCCACATCATGAGTTGAAACTGACACCATAGCAGGTGGCTAGAGAACTGGTACCAACCCAGCCCTGCTTATATGGACTGAGGCCCTTCGTTGGTCCTCAACTAAAGCCATACCCACAACTTTAGACACTCAGGTCTGTCAGCCAATAAGTCTCTTTCAGTGTATAAGCCTGATTTTAATCATATTGCTTATCACATACAAATGAGAAAGTCTTGATATATTGGTGCCAGCTCAAAAAGTAATCCAGAAACTCTGGAAAATTCCCTCACACGAAGCTCTGCTTCTATCTGATGTCGTAAAGTATGTGCCATCAGTTCTGTCATCTGCCCTTACACCCACTGCTGCCACCTATATCCTTTAGCTGACCCTGGAGAAAAAGGGAAAGAAAGTACCTTTATTAATACAGAAAATATCTGTAATGCCAAGAGACAATAGCATAAAAACTACAAACGAAGGAGAGATTATTCCCCCCAAAATGACAGGGGATATCCTTTGAGTGAACAGCACTGTGAGGGTTTGTGTATTAGGCGTGGGAGAGAACTGGTCCCGTGTGGTCTTCAACAGTAAAAGCCACTACTTCCTTTTGGTCATCTATTCTCGGCAAGTGACCAATGGCACGCAGATCACCATTTCATTGCAGGACGTCCCCCAAAAGAACCGCTTTTACAAAATGTAGCTTTCCTTCCCATATGCCACTTTTAAAAACGCTTTAACCATTTCACAGCACTACTTGTACAAAATGATTAAATGTTTTATTACTTTATCTGTAGTAAACATAGTTTTTAAACCTTACTTATAAACTAGCTACAGAAAAGAAACAAATTATTCCACTAAATAAGGTGCTCACCTCAGCAGTTGCAGGGCTGACAGGGAATCGGAGACATTACTCCATTCCTGCCTCACTCATCTCCGACAGGAGGTGGGGTAAAAGCATGGAAGCAGTGTTATGAAAATGGGCCCACCTCAACAACGATGAACTATATGCAAAGTATTTTCACTGATAAAGTTTGAGACTATTTGTTACGTTCTGAAGGCGCTCGCTGTGTAAGTCTATGACTTCTCTCGTGGTCAATGTTAAGATCTCCTCACCAAGCTACCTCACCCCATTTCCAAAACATTACCTTCAATGCTTTGGGGACCAGCAATGCTGACTTTGGGCCGAGATCATCTTGTTCTTCTCCCCCCAGCCTCTAGGTGTCCACAGCTCTAACCCTCAGGGTATCTGCGTGTCAGGGGAAGCCCAGCGCTATACTGCTTCTCCCTTCTCTACCAGGTCCCAGTCACCGGCCTCTCCCAAAGTGCTGGACAAAGGCCTAAGTAAGGGCTTTCTTTCCTATCATTCCATCTCCTGACATCAAAAGACATCAAAAGATGGCTTTTATCATCCCCATACAATACTTCATATTACTTAAAATAATTTCTTGGTAATCTTTTTCCTAAGCCAAAAGATTTTCTACACGTAACTTGCAGCTTTTTTTCAAGCTGTTATATCTGTTCTACTTTAAACCACTCTTTCTGAAAGAATACCAACTCTCTTTTGCTATCTTACTGACTGATGAGAAGTCAACCCTCATTTTGTTTGTAAAATAAAAGCCAATTTCAACTCCACATCATTAAAAAAACAAAAACAAAAAACCTTACAATGCCATGACTGAGTGGGTTTTCTTCTCTGCTTGATGTTATAAAAGCATTAAGATGAATAAAAAGCTATTTTATGATGAGAAAACCAGTGTTTCCATCAGTGCTATTCAAAATAAGAGCTCCTTAAATGTTTACAAAGTTACATTTAGAATGTCTTGGTATGCCTGATGGCACTGAGGAATATTTATTAAATATCTAAATGAAAAGCAACCTGTCCTATATCAAATAATGAGGTAAGCTAAAACCACAGTAAGTTAATAAACCAAACTCACCTTTCTACCTGCCAAACCTGACTCTCTCCTCTGCAGACTTCCCTTCCCTGGACTGAAACGACAGGAGGCCCCCTTCCCTGCCCACACCAGTGTTTTCTCCCCTGCGGTAGTTCCCAACCACCCGCCTCTTCCCATCTAACCTCAGATCCTCATTGCCTCTCCCCTAAAACAACTATAATCATCCCCTTATTAGTCTTTTCCACTTTCTCCCCTAGCCCAACACCTTCCAACACCGCACGTTTACCTACCTGCTGAACTGACAGCTCCTCTCACACAACTTTCCTGAGCTCTCCACTGCCTACTTATTAAAGCATCCAAGATGGACCAGACTGACCCGAGATTTTGTCCTCACACAGATCCGGCTCAGATACTCCAAGTACCAATTACCCTAGAGTCCCCAACACACCCCCAGTCATCCCCCAAGCATAACGCCACTCTCCCACTTCTCAGAAGCATCTCTTCACCCCACCTCAGTCAGGAGGACTGCACCTCCTGGATTTCATAGATGCTAACAGCCAG